ACGCTGCTCTGCTGCCAAGGCTCTCCATACGGAGGAGGGGACACSGTGCCCTTCGGCAGAGAACGGGGACACAGAGTCCAGCCCCGGAGCGGGATGTGAGTAGAGGTGAATTTTGGAGAATTTCTTGATCTTATCATTTGAACCTTCCGCTTGAATTAGACAAGAATCCACCGAAGCCGAAGAGACCCAGTGAGCTCTGAGTGCAGGCTCCATCCCGAGTGCCCGGGGTCTCTCTGGAGGGACGGCAGCTGCTGAGGGCTCCGAGTGAGTGAGGGTCAGATCCGATAGCGCCTTTCTGAGCTGGGAGCKCTCATTCATCACGGGAATGTGTGAAACACCGCCTTGGGAGCGACCTTTGCAGTGTGATGGAGTGGGGTCCTGGCTGCCAGCGCCCCAGGGGGTGGAAATGGGGTGGAAACGAGAAGGAAATGAATGCTCCCGTTCTGCTAACACTGGCCAAAACCCCAAGCTCAGAGCTCCAGGTCTCGTCCAGTCCCTGCAAGGATTGCCCCCTGGGGCACCTCCAGGGCACCTTGTGGGATGTGACTTGTAAGCTTTTTCTCTCAGAACAGGATCCCCCTGTCCCTCCAAAGTCCTTTGTCGCTCGCTATTTCTCGAAACCAGAATTTTCCAGGAATAAATGTCCAAGCAGATGATTCCGTACAAAATCCCCCAGCTGATCATTCCTGGGTAGGCTGCCAGCGGTGTTTGGCTGATTCCTGGCTAYGGACGGGTTGACAAGTCATCAATCCCTTTATAATCGTGTTGGAACAGGCTGTGGCCATCAAGGGAATGCTCGAGCACATAATTAAACGTTGCATTTCCCATGRGCTTTACCGGGATAAGCCCCAAAGCAGGAATCTCCCGGGGCTGAGTTGTGCCAGCCCCGCCCCACTCGGTGTCCCCCAGACRGTGATTTCGCTGTTGCTTTGTGTCAGGGCTCAGATTCACCCCAAATCGCTGCCCTCCAGAACAAGGAGGTGTTTTGTGGCTGGGCAGAGCTCGGGGTGGGTTCCCTCCTGAACCAGAGAGGTTCAAATAACAAACAGATTTTGTTGGGATGCAGGGAACATCTTCCCAAAAGAGGGAATTCCAGGGCAAACACCTCTACGCTCATATGGGTCTGCTCCTCACTGGGTTAGCAGCAATTTCTAACAGCACCATCATCCGATGCTGAAAATACTTAAAATACTTTGTTTTTAGGATTTTCACAAGCCCTAGGTGCCTCTGAGCTCCGGAGCTGTCTCAGCCGCAGGGAGCCGCGTCCCTGCTCACGCTGCTTCCTGAGCATTCACATGCTGATGGATTTCTCTACCTGGTAAAGCTCCGACAGCCTTTTCTGGGAAGTTCGCTGAGTAACTGCGAGCCGGGATGTGCTGGTGAGCGTTGCAGTTCTGCGAATTGCTTCTGGATGGGGAGCGAARCACTTTGATTAGCGGAGCCTGCGGTGATACGCACGGATGAATTCTCSCATCAATAATGGATAGAGACAGGGAAAGCTGCCTCCAGGAGGTGTTGCTGCCACCGGTAACAGCGCTCGGGGAGGGACTGAGCGCTCGGGGGTGTCTGGCTGGGTGTCTATCCCAGTGTGARCCTGGCTTTTCTCCCGGGGAGCAAGCGACAGGAGCAGAGCAAACGGCCTCCAGTTGAGAAGGTTTAGGGTGGAWATTGGGAAGATTTAGATTGGGAAGATTCCTTCATTGAAAGAGTGATCAGGCAGTGGAGCAGGCTGCTGAGAGCAGTGGTGGAGTCACCRTCCACACATTTTGGAAGTGTTCAAAAGYCATGTGGATGTGGCACTTGGGGACAGGGGTTTTTGGTGGACCCGGCAGTGCTGGGTTAATGGTTACACTCAATGGTCCTAGAAGGCTTTTCTGACCTAAACAATTCCCTGATCCTATCATGCAGGACCCTGGGGGATGCTCTCCTCTCCCTGAGCACCCCTGCAGCTCTCAGGATGCCCAGGAAGCACCAACACCTTCAATGCCTGAGAYAATTTCAAGACAGTTTTTCCAGCTCCAATGGTGACCACCACCTTTAATAAATAAATGTACCAGCCATGTCCTCGGTGACAGCCATGTCCCAAACTGGCCCCAGCAGCTCTTGGGGAGTGGGGTGCTGTCCCAGCCCCTCTCSCTGTGGTTCTGCAGCACCCCATGGATCAGGATCCGGCCCCGGCTGAGCATTGCAGTCGCTATGGAGACCCGGCCTGAAATGCATCAATATGGAGAGGAACAGCTTGTCCCTCATGTCCCTATTCAGGGGACCAGGGAGAAAATCCCATCCAGATGTACCTCACCGGGACAGTAATGTCTGGAGTTTTGTGATTCCTCTCTGGGGAATGGCATCCACAGCCCATCCACAGCCCTGGGCTGTCCTCAAATCCTGCATCCTTGTGGGATGAGCCCACCCCGTGCTCTGCTGGCATTAGATGGATTCATACAGGAAGGCCTGTGGGGTGAGGATGTATGGAGTGTGGGTCTGAGGAGGGGGATGTGGCTGGAATCACCATCCATGAGTGCCCCAGGACTGTGTTATCATGGAATGGTTTGGGTTGGAAGAGACCTTAAAGCTCRTCCCATCCCACCCCTGCCATGGCAGGGACACCTTCCACTGTCCCAGGCTGCTCCCAGCCCCAGTGTCCAACCTGGCCTTGGGCACTGCCAGGGATCCAGGGGCAGCCACAGCTTCTCKGGGCACCCTGTGCCAGGGCCTCCCCACCCTCCCAGGGAACAATTCCTTCCCAATATCCCATCCATCCCTGCCCTCTGACAGTGGGAAGCCACTCCCTGTGTCCTGTCCCAAATCCATAATCTGTTAATGACCAAACACCTTGGTGGTGGCTCATGCTGGGGGAGGCACCTGAGGGCTCATTTTTCCCCAAACCAGMAAATCCTGACCCTGGACTGCTCCACCTCGGCGTTGTTTGTCACCTGGAATAGCCAGACACCTCTTGCATCACTGGAGCAGCAGCAGCTGTGATTCCTCATCCCTCTGACTCCTGTGTCTGCTCCTCACTGCAGCAGCTTCAAGGCAAACATCAATTTTTGCAAAATAAATGCATTTTCTGGTGCATTCAGCCAGTTTTGGGGTATGAACCCTATTCTGTGGAGCAGGGWTGGCAGCAGCACTCCAGCATGGAGGGAAGCACGGCTGCACTGGGAGAGGGGTGGGAGCCTGGAAGGGCAGCTCTGATGATAATTTGGGGGATCCCTGCTCCACTGATGGGAAAACGACCTTCCCCAGCCCTGTCTAGGGCCGTAGGTCAGCACAGATCCCCGACCTGGGCTGGAGGGTGGGAGTGTGACCAGGGCCACCAGGCTTGTCCCTGACATTGCCAGGCTGGAAAATGGGACCTGTGGGTGTCACGGGCTGTGTCTCTGTGCTGGATCCAGGACTGTCCCGGGGAGGGTGGCCCTGCWGCCCTCCCTGCCTGCACAGAGGCYGTCACYCAGCCCCGGGGACAGCGAGCATGGGACATGAAGGACCCCTGTGACTCTCCCTGGGGCTGCATGAGGGGGCGTGGGGGCTCCGTGAGAGACTGAGGGGGTTTGGGTCCTTGATCCAGTCCCTGTGACCCACGGTTTAGGGCTGGACCCCCATCTCTGTCCCCATGTGATGGAACTGGGGACCCCCAGCTGGGCTGGACCCGGACCCCCATCCCCACCCCTGTGTGATCCCACCAGGGACTCCTGAAGCGGCTGGACCCGGACCCCGATTTCCATCCTCCTGTGACCCAGCTGGGACCCCCGTCAGGGCTGAACCTGCCCCCCATCCCCACCCCTGTGTGATCCCACCAGGGACTCCTGAAGCGGCTGGACCCGGACCCCGATTTCCATCCTCCTGTGACCCAGCTGGGACCCCCGTCAGGGCTGCACCTGCCCCCCTCCCCACCCCCGTGCCCCCACCCGGGGCGCTCCGTGGGTCCGCGCTGGAGCTCCGGGGGCGCGGGGGCAGCGGCGCCGGGACCCCGCCAGTCCCAGCGGCCATCCCGAGCCCCGGAGGCGGTGCCGCCCCCGAACTCTCCCCTAAGCCCCCCCAGGCCCCCTCCCGTCGGGGCTCGGCGCTGGCAGGAGGCGGCTCCGCCGCAGACGCCGCTCCATCACCGCCGCGTTCACCTCGCGGGGCCGGGGCTCTCCGTGACACCGGGAATACCGGGAATACCGGGAATACCGGGAACAGTGGAGCTGCAGAGCTGCCAGAAACACCAGCAACACCGGGAATACCGAGAACACCGGGAATAACGGGAACACTGGGACTGCCAGAAACGCCGGACACCGGGACTGCCGGTAACACCGGGACTGCCGGTAACACCGGGACTGCCGGTGCTGGGTAAGCGAGCGGAGGAGGCGGCGCAGCCCCGGCGGAGCCCCGGGACCCGCATGAGCACCGAGCGGGACCGGCTGGGGACCCTGGGGGTGGTAGAGAAAACCGGGGGGGCCGTGCTGGAAGGGGGGTCGGGCTGGAGTGGTCCAGCCTGGAGCAATGGGGAGCCCCGGGAGGATCGGGGAGCCCCGGGGGTGACTGAGCTGSTCCTCCCCTCGGAACCCCGGCTGGGCTGGGAGGGGTCACTGCGAGCACAATCGGGGCGGGAGGTGATGGGGTGCAGGAGGTTTGGGGGTCCCAGCCTGTCCGGTCCCAGGGGACCCCCAGAGATGTCTCGCTGCCTCCTGTCCCTGCAGCCCCTTCACAGGTCACCCACGGATGCCAGCCACCTGCTGGGTGGCAGCGGTGCCAGCGGGGCTGTCACATCGGCTGTCACGATGGGTTTTGCTCCCCTCGGGGCTGGCAGCGGTGGGCAGAGGCTGCMCGGGCTCATACAAGACGTGTGATCCAGTTACACCCTGGCTGCTCCGCCTGGGGCTCCCCGAGGTTTTGGTTTGACCCGGGGCTGTGGCAGCCCAGGACGTGTTCAGGATCTCCTGTGTCGCTCTGGGAAGCACATCTCTGCCTCCTCCCCCGGCTGCGGGTGCTGGCGGAGCCGAGCCGTCCCCATTCCTCCCCCTTTCACCAGGGTCTGGGTCCCCGGCGCAGCCCGAGAGGCACCCCGGCACTGGGAGCACTGGTCAGGCTGGGAGCAGCCATGGGGGAMACGCTCGGAGCTGGATCCCTGCGGAGCCTTGTCCAGCTCGCCTGGATGTGCCTGTTCTCCTGTGTGCCGGTGAGAGCCGGGCCGGGCCGGGGGCAGCGGGGTTGGCACTGCCGGGCTCTGACCCCTGCCGGGGGCTCCGTCCCGGCTCCGTCCTGGGGTTCCGCCCATCCCGGGGGGCGGCAGCAGCTCCCGGCGGGATTCGAGGTGCCGGGGCAGATGGCTCTGACCCGGCTCCGGGCATGCAGCGCGGCGGGGCCAAGGTRCTGGAGAAGACCTTCGAGGAGTGGCTGCGGTACCGTGACGAGTGCCTGAGGAGGATGGCGAGCGAGCCCTACCCGGCAGGTACCCGGCAGCTCGGGAGCGGGCGTGGGGCGCACGGAGCCAGGGCTGGGGCGGGGTTTGTCCCTCCTCCAGCACTCTCTGCTCACCCACAGAGGAATGAGCGGGGGGTCGGACGAGGATCGCCGCATCTCAGATGGGATACCCAGGGCCGGGGATGCCCTGGGGGCCGGGGCTGGTGTGGGGCACCTTCAGAGTGGCACCGGCCCCTGGGCGGTGGCAGGGCTGGATGTGGCCGTGCCGGCAGCAGCTGCCCACTGGCTCTCCCTGCCCCTGCCCTCTGCCCCTCCCAGGGCTGTTCTGCAACAGGACCTTCGACATGTACGCCTGCTGGCCCGACGGGAGCCCCGGCACCGCCGTCAACGTCTCCTGCCCCTTCTACCTRCCCTGGTTCGAGAAAGGTGAGGGTGCCCACTGCCAGCCCGGAGCTGGGAGCCAGGGCTGAGCCGTGCTGGGGGCGGAGGGGCTCTCAGGGCTCCCCTGGTGCTGAGAGGGAGCCGTGAGCAGCCCTGGGGTAAAGTGACACCCGGGGCTCGGGGCAGAGCCAGCCCGTGTCCTGCTCATGCCTGCCCTGCTCCAGGGTCTGTGGGACCCAACATCCCCGGAGAGGGTTTTGGGGAGCCGGAGGGACTGTGCTGTCCTTGGTGCCCGCAGTGAAACACGGGCTGGTGAGCCGCAGGTGCGGCACCGACGGCCAGTGGGTGACAGTGAACGGCAGCCAGCCCTGGAGAGACTACTCACAGTGCGAGGACGAGCTGGAGGTCACTGCTGAGGAGGTGGGACCCCGGCTGGCACCCCGGGGTGGACAGGGGTGGACAGGCACCCAGCTGGGCTCACCGGGCTGTGCTCACCGGCAGGAGGGCGCCCGCCGGCTCATGGTGAGCTTCAAGGTGCTCTACACCGTGGGCTACTCGCTGTCGCTGCTCACGCTCATCTCCGCCCTGCTGGTCCTCACCGCCTGCAGGTAGGGCACGGCCCGGCCCCGGCCGCTCGCTCCCGGCTGCGCTGGCCCTGCCTGAGCCCCGGCTCCCGCAGGAACCTGCGCTGCACCCGGAATTACATCCACGCCAACCTGTTCGCCTCCTTCGGCCTGCGGGCCACCTCGGTGATGGTGAAGGACGCGCTGCTGGAGCGGCGCTGGGGCGTGCAGCTGCTGCAGGTGGCCGACTGGGAGGCTCTGCTGAGCCACGAGGCAAGCGCTGGGCTGGTGCCATCGTGGGGACCCTCGCCCAGGGCTGGGGTGGYGGGGTGGAGCTCCAGGCAGCCGGTGGGTGAGTTTTTGGAGTGCCAGTGCCATGTCTCTGATAGGGGTGCCTGTACTGCCTGTGCACCCTCTGGGCCAGCTCTTGGGGTGGCCCAGCCCCTGTGGCTGAGCTGCTGGGGTGTGTGGGCACCCATGAGTGAGCTCTGAGGGCATCTGTGCCCCTCTGGGTGAGCTCTTGGCGTACTTGTGCAGCCTCTGGGTGAGCTCTCAGAGTGCTTGGAGTGTAACATCACATGCTTGATGGGTGATGGGGTGCCTGCATCACTCTGGGTGAGCTCTTGGGGTACTTGTGCAGCCTCTGGGTGAGCTCTCAGAGTGCTTGGGGTGCCCGTGCTGCTCCTGGGGGGGCTGGTCCCTGYGGGTGAGCTGTGGGTGCCCGTGAGCACAGCCAGCCCCACGGTGGCTCTCCCRTGGCAGGCAGCACTGGGGTGCCGTGCGGCGCAGGTGCTGATGCAGTACTGCATCCTGGCCAACCACTACTGGTTCCTGGTGGAAGCTGTCTACCTCTACAAGCTGCTCATCGGGGCCGTGTTCTCCGAGAAGAATTACTACAGGCTCTACCTCTACCTGGGCTGGGGTAGGGGCCACCCGGGCACGSGGYGGGGAYRGGGACAGYGCACSCTGTCAGGGGCATSGCGGTCCCAACCGGCCCAGGAGGGTGCGGGGTGGGGGCTCTGCCGACCCCGGGTATCCCCACGGTGCCCCCCCGGGGGTGGTTTCTCAGCTCAGGAGGGTGCTTGGTTTTACAGGGTTTGCTGTGTGACTTGCAGGGACCCCCGTGGTGTTCGTGGTGCCCTGGATGGCGGCCAAGTACCTGAAGGAGAACGCAGAGTGAGTGGGGGGGGAGAGAGGGAGGGATGGATGGATGGATGGATGGATGGATGGATGGATGGATGGATGGATGGATGGATGGATGGATGGATGGATGGATGGATGGATGGATGGATGGATGGATGGATGGATGGATGGATGGATGGATGGAGGGATGGATGGGGCATGGGGGTCCTGCAGGGGTTCTCAGCCCCAGGCTGGGCTGGGACACTGAGGGTCCCTGAACCCCCTGGCTGGATCTCCCTGCTCCCAGCACAGGGTGATGGTGCAGCCCTCGGTGTTCCCTGGCAGGTGCTGGGCACTGAACGAGAACATGGCTTACTGGTGGATTATCCGCATCCCCATCCTGCTGGCATCCCTGGTAAGGAACAGCTGCCAGCCCCGGCCCTTTTTGGAGAACAGCAGCTCAACCCCTGGCTGCCGCCCTGGGCGGGGCTGCCATCCCCAGGGCAGCTCCCAGCAGCGGCCGGGAGGGAGAGCTGGCCCCAAGGATCAGCCAAATGCACAGCAATTTGCTGGTTCCCGGGTCCTGGGGCTTCATGAAGGAAGCCGGGGTGCTGGGCCCCAGAGAAAGGGGGTGGGKGTGGCCCCTGCTGCTTCCTAGCCGGGATTTTGGGATGGCAGGAGGGAGGAARGGCAGCACAGCCTTGGCAATGCAGGAGTGCTATCTCCCGCCGGGTGAGTGTCCCTGTGTGCCCCTGCTCTGTCTCCCCTCCCAGATCAACCTGCTCATCTTCATGCGGATCCTCAAGGTGATCCTGGCCAAGCTCCGGGCCAACCAGAAGGGTTACGCCGACTACAAGCTGAGGTGGGTGGGGACAGGGGGCRGACACTCTGGGACAATGGGAAGACTCCACCTCCACACCCACCCCACGCGTCACCTCCACTTTGCACCCCTTAAACGAYCCGTTGGGATTAACTGGGAGATTCAGGGTCCCCTCACTGTCCTCCAGGCTGGCCAAAGCCACCCTCACCCTCATCCCCCTCTTTGGGATCCACGAGGTTGTCTTCATCTTTGCCACCGATGAGCAAACCACGGGCRTCCTGCGCTATGTCAAGGTGTTCTTCACCCTCTTCCTCAACTCCTTCCAGGTGAGATGGGAGACAAACAACTCYCGGCTCTGGGCACACCATGGAGCAAAGACCCGGGGGTCCCTCTTCCAGCTCCCTCTCCCTGTGGTGCCTCCAYGGGAAGGGGACACCGCCTCTCTGCCCTCGAGTGTGTGCCTCGAGGTGCCTCCCATCCTCTTGGAGGCTGTGGTGCCACGGGGACCTCAGCCCTAAAAGCACCCCGAGGGGGCCTGGGCAGAGCCTTAACTCCTTCCAGCCCCAGGACAGGGATGGCAGAGGGGGCTCACCCCTGGCTTTTTCTGCAGGGCTTCCTGGTGGCCGTGCTGTACTGCTTTGCCAACAAGGAGGTGGGTGTCCCCATCCCTGTCCCCGTCCCTGCCAGGGCACCTCCTGCCCAGCCTTCCCACCCTAACCTGTGCCTGAGGATAAGCCCCTGCTCCCTCCMTGTGGCAGGTGAAGTCTGAGATGAAGAAGAAGTGGCAGCTCTGGAAGCTCGAYCACCCGGTGCTCTGCTGTGCTCAGTGAGGTGGTGACCAGCCAGGGCAGAGGGGCCGCTGACCACGATGGCCACGGGACCTGGCTGGAGGGCAGGGGCTGCAGGGAGCCGTGCTGGGCAGTGTCCACCCGGGATGGCCAGGCTGTGTCACACTGGAGCTGCTGGAAGGGACATCCCTGCTGTTACCTGAGGTGGCACCTGTGGCTCCTGCCAGGCAGGCTGTCCCCTCAGCAGGGTCTCACCTGTGCCTGGGAGATGTGTGGGCACCACCGGCTGCTTCCTCCCCTGGCCTGGGCAGCTGCAGAACCCAGCAGCCTCCCCAGGACACCCACCCCTTCCTGGGACCCCCTGGAACACCCACACCTCCCTGAATACCCCTGGAATACCCACATCTTCCTGGGATCCCCTGGAACACCCACACCTTCCTGGGACCCCCTGGAACATCTACACCTCCCTGGGCACCCCTAGAACACCCACGCCTCCCTGGGCACCCCTGGGATGGCAGCAGCCGGGGGGAGCCTGGCCCTCAGCAGGGGCAATGGGAGGCGCTGCTCAGCCCGGACCTGCTGCCCAAACCCCACAYCCAGGGCTCCCCTGTCCTCCCCTCACAGAGGGGCTGCCTCTGCAGCACCCTGACAGCTCCCAGACACCCACAGCCCCTGTAAAGCCCATCACAGCGAGGTGCTGCTCCTGCACCTCCTCCCCAGCCTGGTCAGCAACCCAGAACAGCAGCACCTGTCCCCTTCCTTGCTGCACCCTCACCAAGGACAGACAAAGCCTCAGCTCTGTCACTTGGGAGTGAAGGATTTAAGAGCAGCAGCTCACCAGAGCCAAGCCTGACCTCCCACACCCCAGCTCCAGCACCCAGCCCAGCCACCTCCTCCTCTAGGGAGGAAAGGTTGGGCTTGCAGGCCTGGCAGAAGCTCAGGAACCGATTTTCTGGCCAAAGGCTGAGATCCCGAGAGTTTCCTTTCCAGTGGGTGCCAAAGCACAAGCCCAGCCTGGCCAAGCAGCCCGTGGGTGCCAGGGAGCCTGGGAGCGAGGAACAGGACTGTCTGTGCCCGGCTCCTGGGCCGGCCCTGAGCCCTCCTGGAGGAGCCCGGAGCAGCTGCGGACACCCCCAGCACCAGCCCCWGCCCAGACCCTCAGCAGCAGCATGGACACACTGCCATGGCTCGTTCCAGCCACCTTCCTTCCCTTGCCGTGCACTAAAGTCCCCTCCAGGCCGGAGGGACCTGCCAGGACTCTCCAGGAGATGCCCACAGACACAGGAGGGTCTCCAGCTCCTGCCCCTTCCCCGACAGGCTGGGGGAGCCTCTCYCAGTGCCTCACGGAGGGGCTGCCTGGAGCACACAGAACAGAGAGCAAGGCGGAGAGGAGATCCAGGCTGGAGACACACAGGAGTTGTTCTGGATCGCTGTAACCCCCACGAGATCATTTTACACATTAACTCACTTTTCAGATGTAAATAAATATTTATTTTTCAGCAAGCAGAGCCTGCTGCTTCTGTCTGCTCCAGGGGAGGGGAACAGCTGAATGGATTGGGGTGGAAGGAACCTTAAAGCTCATCCAAWCCCACCCCTTGCCCTTGGACACCTTCCACTATCCCAGGCTGCTCCAAGCTCCATCCAACCTGGCCTTGGGCACTGCCAGGGATCCAGGGGCAGCCACAGCTTCTCTGGGCACCCTGTGCCAGGGCCTCCCCACCCTCCCAGGGAACAATTCCTTCCCAATATCCCATCCATCCCTGCCCTCTGACACTGGGAAGCCATTCCCTGTGTCCTGTCCCTCCATCCCTTGTCCCCAGTCCCTCTCCAGCTCTCCTGGAGCCCCTTTAGGCCCTGGAAGGGGCTCTGAGCTCTCCATGGATCCTGGTCCACCCCCAGCTCTCCCAGCCTGGCTCCAGAGCAGAGGGGCTCAAGCCCTTGGARCATCTCCGTGGCCACCTCTGGACTGGCTCCAGCAGCTCCACCAGCACTTTGAGTTGCTGCTCTTTGCTGGGCTCCCACATCACCCACCCCAACAGTGCCACAAGGGTGGTACCTCCATGGTGGCACCATGCAGGGCAGGGATGGCAGGGATGAGGCAGCCCCAGCCCCGTGGACCTCCACAGAGGGGAAGCTGGAAAGCACAAAATCTTCCTGCAAGGAATCAGGGAGCTCATTCCTGCTGCCCCAGCTCCCCGCACAGACACCCACACACCACACACAGGTTCGCAGGTTTTATTCATTTCTCCAAGTCAGCAAATGCTGTTTTTCCTCAGACAACTCACTTTAGGGTAGCACCTGCTGCTCTCACAACCACCCTGGCTGCAAGGAATGCTGGTTCAGAGCMTGCGTTTAAGGAACTGCCTCCTCACGGACACAGTGTTGTAGAAAACCCCCTCCCTGCTGCCCTCTTGTCTGCTCTRATACCCCTTGCAGCCCCTGTTTGGGGCCTGTCCTTTCCCTTCACATACACACGGTCACACCTCCCCCTTTTCCCAGCCTCCAGGCCTTCTGATCATTGCAATTCCCCAAACCCCTTTATTCCAGCCTGAGACTTTGCAAACTCAGCCCCCAATCCCTACAGTAACCCTATAGMCCCTGTCCTGCACAGCCCACCCACTTCTGAAGACACTGCTGAACCCGGGCTGCCTCGGCCCTCCAGGTGCCCCCAGACCCCTCCCTTCAGGTGCTTTTGTGGGGCTTTGTGTTAAATTCAAGGGAAAGCACCCTGACAGCCCTGGGCTAGTGCAGCCAGAAGAACCACCAGAGGCAGGGAGAGACTTTGGCACTGCCCCCATTCCTCCACTGCCAGGGAATGAGGGACAAAGCCCTGCACACTGCTCCCAGGACAGCTTCAGGCCTCTGAGGAGTTTCCAGGGATGCTGCACGAGGGGAATCAGCCGCCCCTCATCCCAACTCTTGAGGGTGAAGTACTCCAGGGCATTTCCTCAGGATGGAAAAAACGGTGCCTGGTGATGAGGCTGGGAGTTAACCAGAGGCAGGAAGCAGCACCCCAGGGTGGGGGGACACTGCCAGGCACACGGGGCCATCCCTGCCGGTTTTGGGACAGAGGCTGGCCCCAGGAGTCACAGACACCCCGAGCAGAACAGTTGTCACCCCTGCCTAAAGGGACTGGAGCAGCTCAGCAGAAGGGATGATCAGCTAAAAGGCTGGAGCTGGATGAATTTTTGGCATCTGTGACCAAGGTCCAAAATCAGAAGGAACATAGGGTTCCATCCTCTGCCCAAAGGGACTCTTCCTGAATCATCAGAGCCATCCCTCACAGACTTCAAATTTTGATTGTTGTGTTTTTCCCCCTTACAGGGACAGTCATTTTACACCACGGTCCCTGTCACCAGAGTCTCTCACCCAAACCCAGTGATGGGGCAGCCTCCTCCTGCACTGCCTGTCCTTGGAAGTGCCCATCCAAGATTGCCCTGGCACAGAAGCCTGGAAATCAAAGGCAGGTAGTCCTTGATAGCACAGCTCCATCTGGGCTGTGGTGTCCATGCCCAGCTCCCATGGGGGACAGAGCTGTCCCTGCATTGGCATTCCCCTGCTTGGCACCGGGGGCTCAGCAGCCCCAGGCTCTTGCTTCACTCTCTTGTCTTTCCAGGGGAACATCTGCCTTGCTGGGATTGTGGCAGTGGCCAAACCACACCTATAAACTCTGCCATAAAGCACTGACCACAAAGCCAGGTTTCTGGGGATGGAGTAAGGTGAGGTCCTGGTTCTGGCCTGAACAGGGTTCAGTTCTGCAGGACCAGGACCACTTTTGCACACTTCTGTTATTACTGCTGTTGCTCCTTATCTCATTGCTGTTTGCAATGAATTGCTTTTATTTCGACCTGTAATCTTCCCTGTTTGTGCCTCCCATTCCCCTCTCCATCCCAGGGGAGGGGGAGTGAGTGGGGAGTGTTTCAGTAAATGCCATTCCTAAACCACACCACGTGTGATCACACCCAGCCCTAAGGACAGTAGGAACACAAAATGAACTGGGGGAGGGCTGTTTGGAGTGACAGGCTCTGAAGCCCAGAGCTGGGGTGGGCAGAGCAGACATTCCAARCAGGAACAGGGCTGCACTCTGAGCTTCACTGCAGCTCAAAGAGCCAAACATCACAAACTCTACTCCCTTCACCCCTCCACAACAACCTGCCTTTTTCACGGCCTCAGATCCATTCTCTGGGCCAATCCCCAAAGCACAAGAGGAGTCAGGGACACATTTCAGCAGCCCTGGGGAGCTTGGGATGCAGAAAAGGATAATGAATTGATTGCTGTATGCAAATGTCACCTTTCTACCACCACCCAGACCTGAACAACAATGGCTGCAGGAAGCTTAAGTCAGATAAAACTCCCAGGCTTGGAGCTCCTCCTCCAAACCTAAACCTTTCCAAAAGGGATCCTGGGAACCCAGACAGAGTCAGGCCCAGAGAGCTTCTGGTTGTCTTCTGCTGTCCCKTGTCCTCCCAGCCGTGTTGTCTGGTGGCCACGGCCTCCTCTGTGCCCCGCCAGCTGCGATGGCCCTCGGCAGAGCCGTGGTGCTGCCAGCACGGCCCCCGTGCTCCCTCCCAGGCACACTCAGCTTCCGGGTGGAACAGTCACCCGACGTCAGTATTCCTGCAGCCACCAGGGAAAGGGGACAGTCACCCTCCGGGCCACACAGAGAAAAGGGGGCTGCAGATTGCACCAGGGGAGAGCCAACCAGAGGGCACACAAAGCCGGGTCAGAGCCCAGCCCTGCTCTGATGTGAGCTACAAGCGAGCCTTGGGGACATGGCAG